AGGACATCTTGTGCCCTGAAATGATTGCTTTGTGTCTCAGTTAACGGGCAATGAATGCTTGCCACTCCACACCAGACAAAACTGTGAAACATTACCTTGTGCAGCTACAGGTTGTCCCTACCAATGGAAAATGCAATCCAGGAGAGTAAGTATCATTGCTGTTATGACTTCATCACATTTAGCTGCTAGTATAGTAGGACTGATTGGACTTCAGGAAAGGAATGTAATTGTTATAACCCACACAAATACTTCCCCTCTATCAGCAGCGCCTTAAAACAGCACTCAAGGGTGCAGGCAAGTGAATGTGCTGTTGTGGTTCTGGGCCAGGTGAGGGAGAGCTTTTGCTCCATCGTGGGCTGGTGCTTGCTTTACAGAAAACGAGCTTTTGGCCTCTGACAGTCCAGCTGTGTATAAAGCAGTGTTTGCTTTTTGTAATGAAAGTGAGAGGTACAGAGCATGAAAATAGTGCTCTGAGTGGCTCCTCCATAGACAGCTCCTTGACAACCTGATTTTTGCTTTAATATTTTAAATTTTCCTATTACTTTTTCAAGCCTGCAGGAAATTCACCATTTCCATTATTTCCACAAGCTTCACTTGCACCTACTGTGTGAAGTCTTTGAATCCATAGGTTCAAATCAAAACTACTCCTTTTGACCACCCCAATTACAAACACCACTGACTGTGACGCATTATTTTAAAAATGTCTGCTAAAATTTAAAAGGATTTCCAAATATTTTAATAACTTCCTAAAACAGTCTAAGGACATATGTTAAAGTATAGAATTTCCTTAAAGCAGCACTGGTTGGGATTGCTTCAGCTGCAAATTAGGGTTGTCAGTCAAAGTGCTTTTTCTGTTTTAGTCTCTGATCTAGAAGTTTTTAGTATCTCCTCCAGAATGAGACAAAGAAAGACAGCTAGTGAGCAGTTAGGGCTTGTTTTGCCATGTGTTTCACCTAGCAAACAATCAGTCAATACCTTTTGTGAAGTCTTTTAAGTTTTAGTGAATACCTCACAGGTTAGTGAGGAAACAAGCTATACTGTTTTGACATATTTTTGCACTTTTCACATTATTTATTCTACAGCACGTGTCCAACATTTTAATATCTTGAATAGCTGTGGCAACTTCTTTTGCATGTCTACAAATATTTGCGTTATTCTTAAGCCATTGGGTCTCCTAATGAGGGTCTGGAGTAAGAGGCAGAATAATACGTTTGCTACGTAAGACTTCCTGCAGAGACGCATAGTAAATTCATGGTGTGCTGGATGTAGATAACCAGACTAAAGAGTCCTTAGAAGATCCCAGCCTCACCTACCCCCAGAAATGGAGCTGCAACCCAGAGCAGGGTGGGATCCTCCATCGGTGTCCTGCAAGGGAAAATAAGTCAGAAGCAAACAGGAAAACATGCAAGAGGGGAAAAAAAATGCATCCTACTCCCATTGATGTCTGTACCTCAGTTTCTCCAGCCAAATCATCAAAGGAACCACTGGAAAGAAACAATAACATTAAATAGTGTCAGAAAGGAGCTGACTGCTGATTTAATTTACAAAGTTGCATGAGGAGTTAATCAAGAGTTGTAGCTCAGTGCAGTGCAATGGGATGGCCTAGAGGTTAAAGTCGCAACAGCCAAGTCTGGGCATAAAGAGCAACCCAGATGGGCTGGGAGCAGCATCTGCTCTTGCAAAGAGAGGTGCCGGGAAACCTCATTGTTTTGTTTGTGTTGAGACGAGGAAGAAAAAATGACAAAGAGAGATTTCTCAGTACATCATGCAGTCAGTGAAATATGTTGGGTTATTGTGTGATTGACAATATCAGATGTATTTTATTTCAAATGTGCTTTTCTGAAGAGTTGGGTTGAATCTTTTGGAGAGAAATAGGTAGACAAAGAGAAAAAGATTATTCTCCCTACTTTTCTGAACCCAAAAGAATACTTTATCCAGTTATCCATTCACTTGCATTTTCTTTGCATCAATCTCAAGATTGATGATACATTTATTTCTTTAATATTATTTATCTGGAAAGATTGAGAACTGGATTGTTGGATTTTATACTTCAGAAATGTGGTGTGTCTCTTATTTACAGTGTTATAATTAGTCAGACATGCTTATTTATTGCATGCTGATATTCTAACTCTAAGCCTGTCAAGTGTTGTGACAGTTTGTGAGAAAATTAATTCACTACATAATTAATTTTATTGTGGTGATGATGCTATATTGATCTGGATTTCCACTTGCTTGTGTGTCAGAATACTTAATTTGGGTCACGATAACATTAAAGTGTAAGAGAAGTGAAAGATTTTGTGGTTTCAGTTATAATTTCTAACCATTTTTAGAATTCGCTCATGCTTTAATTATTTTTTTTCCTGTGTAATTGAAGGAAACTGGCATCATCACCAAGCTTGCAACAGAGAAAACATTTTTTAAATGTTCAGTGTGTAAAAGATGTCAGCATTGTTACCTTTGTAAACAGAAGATGATGGACAGAAAATCTGCAGAATTTTCAGCAAAAGGCAGTAATTTTTTCAGCTTCTTTTCATTTCTTAATGGAAGAAGAATTACGGAAATGAGAGCGGGTGTTGCATTAAGTGCTTGAAATGTTCCTTCCCTGCAGACCAATAAAAATATAACTCTTCCATTAGGGAAATTTAGTTTTTTGAAGGCTGCATGAATCTGAGCTCTGAATCGGTGAATGAGATGACTGCGCTGGGGTAAGCGTTTCAAGGTCTGATTGTGTATTTTAAGTCTTTCGTAGGTGGATACCAGCTCTTAGCATGTCTTCTAAGACTTCTTCAGAGCAACTTTTTCTGTGACTCTTTTTATATTAACCACTTGGCTTATCTTGTAGTACTTTTGTGACGCAGTCTCTTGTTATGCAGATCATTAAGTGTTTCAAAGCCATGGCGATTGAATGATTTTTCCTGCCTGAATTTGGACTAGAAGGTTTCCTGGCCTTTTCAAAACACTCCAGCTACTTGCATAACTCCATAAGCAAAAGTCAAATAGTGCAAGTCAAAAATTTGACCTTTCTGTGCTTCATAAGGTGTGTTTATAGTGGTTATAGTCTCACCTATGACTATAGATTATGCAGATTGTAGCTATCTGCCTTTAAAAATATCCTTTATTTGTAAGTGCGAGATGAAAGTTTAGCAGTAAACTGCTATCACTGGGGCTGTTCAAATTAAGACCCTGATCAGGGCTGTGGAGAATTAATACCAGAGCAAGTGTGTATTCAAGTGAAGCCATCTTTTTTTTCTGTGCTGTTAACCATAAAATAGTAATCAACATTAATTTCTAGGTTCTAGAAGATCACAAATAAAACTTAATAAAAAGGAGCAAAATCATTACCAGTCATTACCACTGCTCCTTACTTCTAACTTATTAATCATATTTCAACTTCATATACTCTATTACTTAAGCTGTCAAACATATCACAGAGGTATATAAGGATGATTTGTCCTCATTTAGTGTGTGAGGAGACAGAGACACCAAGAGCTTCTGAAATGTGTCCAAGGTCTGGAAATGATTAAGTGGAATGCTTTCTTTTTATTATTTTTATTTAGTTGTGAGTAGTCTGAATATAGCCATAATGGTCTAATTATAATTGATCAAATAAATCCCATTTCCCCCTTTTTTGCCAAAGGGCTGATCCCATGGGTGCATGCAGTGCATATAGTTAAGGCAACAAATGTAATTATTGTGAATATTTGGCCACATGTGGGGCTGGTTGTCTGCCATGATCCAGAAATAATGGCATTAATGCAAATATGAGTTATGTTCCTGGTAAATTCATGAGGCAAAGAGAGCATGCCTGACCTACATGATCCTGTGTCCCCATCCTGATTATTCATCCGTAATGGAAAGATTTTGAAGCACTGGAAAAATACTTTGGTGGAGGACACACATGGACATAAAATTTTCAACTCCTTGCTGTTTTTCTTGCTATTTTATCCCCTCTACCGATCCTATGGCTTAGTAAGTTAATGAATTTAATCAGCTGCCTGCTTTAGACATTATGAAGAGGTACTGGCAATGAATTTCCACCTCAGACATTAGATTTTTGGCTGATTTAAGTTGAGGTCACCCTGTGCTAGTGCTGTAGGTGGCTAATTGCCCCTGAGAAAGCAACCGTAAAGACTGGTGCTGCCTGTAGAAAACATGAGTTCCCAGGTGTCTTGGATGCGTTTGCACACAGAAGAAGCCAGATGGTTTTCTCTGTGGGATTTCTTTGGCATTGCTCTGCGGGAGAAATACCTGAGATGGATGCTGCCAGGTAGCTGTGTGGTTCCTGTGCGTTAACAGCTGCTCTAGCTCTTCTCTCAGAAGTTTAAAGCGTGAAAATGAAAAATTGGTAGAAATCTGTGTAGTCAAGTGGGGAGTGGGGAAGACTTCATGTCTTGTGCCTCTTCAGACCCAGTGGGATGGGTCTGGTCCCACGCTGGCATCCTAGTCTGGAATGTGGTGGTACGTGCTGGGTGGTTCATAAGTGCTTTGGGATTGGAGGCACTTCCTACATGTTAATAAGGTTTTCTCGTTCACAGCCCTTGAGCATGGCTCACTCACATGGCCTGTGGTAGGCAGACACAGTCACCCACTGGAGTCATCTGAAGCTGTGTGGAATATTGCAGATTTGACTGTGAAATGCATTGCTGCAGTCAGCCACACTCCAAAAACACGGTGACCTTCGGGAAGATTAGGTCAGGTCCCATATCACCTGCACATTTTGAAATAACAGGTTGGTTGACTTATAATGGCAATAAAGCTAACCAACCCTAAAAAAGGGCTAGTCTCTGAGACATTATTTGAGACAAACAGAGGTGTGGAGTCTGGTTTTATCTTGGACAATAAAAATTAATGCAGGGTAGCCTGCACCTCTGCCACACACCCAACCTTGCGGCCATTAACAGCAGCCCAGCAGCGTGAGGCAAAGCTCCAAGTGTCTCAAGCAGGCTGGTCCCTGGCAGCCATCCTGATCTCACGTGCTTGCTCTCATGGTCTCGTTCCAGGGCAACCCACTGTACTTTCAGTCTGCCAGAAATGTGACAGTGAACATCCTCAATGAGAAGACTAAAGTCCTTACTCGCCTTGTAACAGGTAAGGAGGGGGAAAGGCTGCATGGAAGAATTAAGGAGGGCTGAAGTTGTGAGATGATGTGCTGGCTTTAGACAGCATGCAGGAGGGGAGCCAAGGTGTCTTGTGACATTCAAATTAAAACTTCACTCCACTTTCTAGAAACAAAGCTAGAGACATGAAAGCCGTGCTGGAGAGACAGCTGGCTGGTGCTCTCTGATAACGAAGCAGACCATCGTTTTCATTTGAAAGGCAATCCAGAGACAGGAAGGTTAGGTGTACGACTTCAGGGTCAAGAAGAACATGTGCAGGCTGACATTTCTGTTGTAACAGGCACAGGCTTTTCCTGAGACACTTTTAACTTGTGTGAGATCTTGGGAACTCTGCAGATTAACTGTGGCTGGGTTGGGCTGCTTTGCAATTTAGAGCTGTCAGTGCCCTTCTGCTGATAAAGAACGCTCTCGTGCTCCCATACATGAGTGTGTTTGGTTGGAAAATTAGTGTTTTATAAATCCTCGGTGCACAGCAACCTTTGAATGAATGCATGTGTAATTTGGGTTGAAAGAGCCTTATGCATTATATATGGTAATATATAATATATATATGACATAGGATAGATATATATTTATTGAGATTTATCTAGGGACCAGGAGAAGTATTGCTGTGTGGCAGAGCCAGTAATCCATAAACATGATGTTTCTATATGAGATTGGGTTGTTTGGTTTGCTTATATAACATCTTGGCCTCTAGTAACAGTATTAAATAATTAAATACACAGCTTCAGTAAGCAATGATTTAAGCAGCACACATGAAAATTGCCTGGAGCAAGGAAATAAATTCAACCCCAAGATCCCCAATTCTCACATTCGGAACGAACATGTTTAGTTTGTCGTATCTCCGTGTATTTGCAAGAGGGTATTTGATTCCCTTAAGCATCTCTCTCCATGAGAGCTTGGGAGGACACAGTCAGTGACATCTCTCAGCATGAAGTTCAGGTTATTGAGCTCTTTTCTGCGTTTGGCAGCAGCTTTGGTTTCAGAGCAGAGCAAAGACATGGTGCCGTGTAGAGCGTGCTGCAGTGATGAGTAGGGAGGCAGTTAATTAGCAAGGTACAAATCAAACTTAAAGCTCAAAAGTACTGGACTTTCTCAGAATGACTGCAGGATTTTTAAGTGTTTCCAAGGATCTCAGCATAGCCTCACTTTTCTGTAGTGTGAACCATGCACGCGTTCTTTGTATGCTCTGATGCCAATACAGATGATCTGTGCAGGAAGATGTGAGTATAGGTGGAGTTAGAAACTGCTTGTAAAAAAAATATTGTCTTTCAGGTCTTATTTCTCTTGTCTTTTGAGAAGTGAGACTAGTAATGAAGATGGCCAGAATTAATGCAAAGTCCAATCACTTGCCTTGTGCAGTAGCATATTCCAGGGAGGCCGTGGCTTGGACTGAGTTGTGCAGGGCTGTTAGGTGGTGATTTGTTCGAAGTTTAGCCTAGGTCAGATAACCAAGGGGTCTGTTCTTTGTAGCCTTTGAGCCACAGACCTGCACAGAATTGCTATTCAGGTAGCTGAAGTTTGTCAGGCTCCACAACAAAATGCATTGCCAGAGGCTTTCCATTACTGTGGAGCACAGCAGCCTGCAGGAGAAACAGCAGAATTGAAATAAGAACTACGAAGAAAGTTTTACTCACCTGAAAACTTTCTGAAATGTGGGAGACCCAGTCATTGTCTTGACCTGCACATGGCTGAAATGATCTAAAATTAAAAAAATTGCTCGTTTGGTGGTGGTTGGTTTTTTGTTTGTTTTGTTGTGTTTTGTTTTGTTTTTTTCAATTGGACTGTGCATGACACTGATATCATTTTAATCCAGGTATATTTAATAGGCAGAAGACCAGGTATTTTTTACGCTACAGTGTCAGCCCAAGCAAGATGTACTCAGGAACCCTTGATGCCTTTTACAGTTGCACCAAGACTCTCAAAGCATGGCTGGGTATATTCATTGCTATTTCACATGTGGGTCTATCTTCTTGTAAAAATTTCCCAGCTATGCCAAGCTTAATGGTGATTATGACATACATAAGCATTAACAAAAACATAAGTAGAAATAGTTGATGAGTTGTTATTTGGGCAGAAAAAAAGCCCTTTTCTAATGAGAGGTCACTCTGAAAAGCACTGATCTCTCTGTTTGATGTGTCAGATGCAAGTTGTATCTGCAGAGCTACTAGGATGATCTCAACAGATGGGTTTATTAAATGTATAAAGCTACTATATGATTTTCTTATACTTTTTACTAAAAGACTGCTAAATTTCTTCTTCCCTCTAGGTCCCCAAGCAGTGGAAGCACACAGCCAAAAATTTGAGGTGAAAACCCTCTCTGGAAAACTGCTGTTTTCTGCAGATGACAACGAAGTGGTGGTTGGAGCAGAGAGATTGAGAGTTTTAGGTAAAAGATTATTCACTAAATCACGGTTTTAATATGCACCTCTTCAAATTTTATAACAGTTTTGCCTGACTTTCCTTCATGCTCACAGAAAGCTTCCTTTGGAGATAAAGCCTTTCACGGTCTTTATTGCTTTCAATCTCCCCCAAGCAGATAATGGCCAGGAGTTTGAGGGGTTTTTTAACTTGCGCAATATGTTATTTCCCCTCGAGAAAAATCTCCCCTGGAAGTGGTTTGTCTGGCTCAGTAAAGTAACTTTAAAACCAGATTTGGAAATGGAACAACTTTATCTCTTGGGTCTGAGATGAAGGACAGTGAGGGATCGCTCTAAGGGCGCTTCCATGGCTGCAGTCACTGTGCGTAGGGAAACCTCGAGCTTCATGTTTTTGATTGGACCACTTTCATCAGCTCCTCCTTCATTCTAAAGCCAACATCAAGTTGAAAACTTCATTTTTCAGCTGCAGTGAAAAAGTCAGCATGAGTTAGGACCCCACATTAATTCTCTGAATAGTTTGATGGCCATTATATTAGTTATCTTTCCTTAGCCACATGCAAGAGCATGTTGTGCATCTCTGAGCCATCTCCAGCTCTGCTGTGGGTGGGTTGAGTTCCCCGTGCATGGGAGGGGAGGCCAGCCTTACCAGTGCCACCACTTCCCTGACTGCCTTTTGAAACAGGGCAGCTCTCCTTCAGCCTGTGCGGGATCTGCCTCCCCAGCAGTCCTGCCTGCTGGGCTTTACATCGATAGTTCCTAATAAAAACTGGGGATACACTTTGGGTTTGGGGAGTGGGCATTGTTTATTGTTTGGTTTGGGTTTGTTTGGTTGGGGTTTTTTTAATTAGAAAAAAGAAACAGTTATGGTAACTGTAAAATTTTCAAATGTATTTGATAGTTATACAAAATTAACTCTTAGGAGTTCTCTTGCTCTCCTGTTCAATCCATGCTCTTTGATTAGTTTAAGATTTGCTCATAAATATTTTCATGTAGGACCAGACTGGGTAACTGGCTAGTTCCTCATATAACTGTGTCACTGGTGTCTCTGGATATGCTGAAATCTGTTTCCTAATGCCTTGACTTGGACATATCTGTTCGCTCCAAATTGTTCCTTACTTCTCTAGTAAACTCCTAAACACAAGTACCAATGAAGGAGCTTAGAATGATGTAGAGTACTTTTATTTATTATTATTATTTACTACATACTATATAGCATATTATTAGTATATTATGTATAATCTAAAGGAGCTTAAAATGAGGGTATAACCATCAGGATTGTGACTTTGTATCCAATCATTAACATTTTTCATTACCTGATGTCGTGCTATTCTAGATGGTTCCTGTTTATAGAAAGGCCAAGTGTAGCTCTTTGCCAATCACTTGTTGGTACCTACTTGACTCGTTCAGTCACCAGCTTTACAAAGTTAGGTGAGTTTTATAGGATAAATGCTGAACTTCACAAAATTAACAGTATCTTTTTTGGCTTGAAACTTTAAAAAGGGTCATTCAAAATTCTTGCAGAGTTACAGAGTTGTTGGGGAGCATTTGTCACAACCCATGTTCTGCCACAAATCTCCCTTCACACTTCATCCTACAGAGCTAATTAATTGTACAGTCTTTGTGCAGGGTAGATGAAGGCAGGAGACAATAGTTTTTTAGTATTTTCTTGGAGACTTAAAATGAGAGAGATTTATAGCATTGATTCTTCAAAAAATACAGAAACTTTACAAGTTGGAAGTACTCCTTTTCAGATTACATACTTACAAAAATATTACTTTTAATTTACTTTGTACTTTGGAGAAACTAGTAATTGTTCTTGATAGTTATTTTGAGTTTCTACCTTGTTTTAGCCTCCAGAATAAACTGTATCAAAAATCCTGCTAACCACCGTAGTGCACTTTCATTTTTATCTGCAACTGAGTCTTTCTCGGGGTTTAAATGCCTTATGCAGATCTGTCAGAAAAGGTGGAATGATACCACTGGTGACATTACATGGCTAATATTTCAATGACCTTGAGATGAAATGCTTTCAGAGTTCATGCTTGGCTTTGTTTTTCTCCAGCTTTGCTTCCCCAATCTAATTTTATCTCCAAAAGCCGTTGCCATGGCTGTTTGCCATGCTGGGAAGTGTTATACCATATGTTCGTATTTCTTCGAGTGTTTTTGTCTGTACTTGAGACTAGTCCAACTTGTAGTACACAGACAAATTCCTTTGATCATTTTTCTGGTGGTTGGGATCTCAGGTGCTGTCGGTATGTGTCTGCTGACACCTATCTACACTATGTAAATCTCAACTTGTTCTTGCTGAGCACAGACTTGTTACAGAAGGAAGTGTATATCTGCAATCTGGCATGAAAGTCATCTCACAGAGGTTAGAGCAGCAGTTATTGGGCTTGTGGCTAGCTTTTAATCTTGTTAATGATAATTACTTTCTTTTCTTTCTATGCTCTTCAAAGTTGATTCTGAAAGTTTGTTTTACAAAGTAATGCTGAAGCCTTGTCATGAGAAAAGAGGTGCTTTTGTTTTTTGAAACAGACTCTGCTCTGGTTGGCTAAAGGATTTTTCAATATTAGCAAGGCATTAAAAAGAGAGGAATACACAGAATTATGGATTAAAAAATACAAGTAGGACATGTGCTGCGTTTGATGGTGCTTCAAAAAATTGCACAGCATGGATAGTGCAGATTACTAAATGAAAGTGCTTCTTATTTTAATTTTATTTTGTGGGTGTTATTTCTGATTTTTAACCATTAAAGGACACAGAAGGACAGAGTTGGTCCCCTCTGCTTTTCATGCATGATGTAATTTAGAGTACTTCAGTGGTTTTATTTGCTTTAGTGAATCCAGTTAAACCTGTTGTCACAGGAGAGATTGGAGGATAACAGGAACTTCTGTTTGAGGACAAGGGCAGCCCTCTGAGCCCTTTGGCCATGATCAGCTCTGGTAACATCTACATAACCTTTTCCAGACACAAGCACGAGTTCCCTCTGCCTTGCTCAGAGCCAGCCGGGAGCTCAGCAGCTGCATTGTTCCAGATAACTCCAAAGGAGCTCGTATTTGCCTATAAAAAGTCATGTAGAAACCGAGCCTTATGCCAAATCTGGTTTGCCCTTTTTCTTCCAAGCTCATCTGCCAGTGCCTTCAGCTGCCCAGCCATCTCCTCCATTCTTGCAGTGGGAAAGAGGGGAGGTTTAGATTAGATATTAG